CTCTCAATAAGAGGTTCTCCCACTGCTTTAGTGAGTCTAACAGTCATCGACTTGAGAAATTTCTACTGTACCCCCTCCAGGAGATTAGGTAACAGAAGATCTGATCACCAGGAAGTTTTGTGAGTATGGACAAATGTCAGTTTTTCTGTGTCAGATACAAGGATAAAGGTAAACTTATTAACCATAAAGACAATTAAAAATGGGAGTTTCATGAGTTTCTTCATCAACAGCATCACAGGGGAATGGTTTGGGCTTGATGGGCTCTAGAGTCCATCTGAACTTTTACCAATTTTGTCTTAGTCCTTAAAGGGTTGTTTGGAAACGGTCACTCCAGTGAGGTGGGACAGAGAGAGGCCCGGGCAGGTGACAGCAAACACACTGCACTTACTTTGTTGTCATCTCCATATCTGATCATTTTATGAGCAAAGTCATCGGTGGGTCTCACACGGACAAATGCATGAACTTTTTTCTTGGTACTCATTCTAGCTAAAAAGAAAATAGCAAAAATTTCAGTAGTCATCATCAAACAACAATTAGAGGGGGGATGTCACTCACTGAGCAGATGAGAAAGGAGTGATGTACAGTCCAGGGTTTCCTAGCCCACTGGGAGCGGTCTTCCTTCCTACCTCCTAGCATTTCAGTGCTCTACCCACAGGACGATGCTCAGCAAGTACGTATACATCCTGCTTTACCGGCTGCCTCACCATTTTCCACCAGCGATCCCCCTGAGACTGAAAGAGAAGGCCAAGAATGCTCCTTTCAGTGTCCTAATTGTAGATGTGGTTTCTAGAAATGTTCTGTATTTGAGTCCCCTTACGCTTTGCCTCATTCATTATATTCTCTGTGAAAACACTTACTATGAAAAGCCTTAAAATTAATTCTTTTCTTCATTACCATACATTACTTCACATGCAGCACCTCCTCCTCTACCTCTATCGGATAAACTTAGATCAGAAAAAAGATTCCCTAGATGTATATTTAATCTAGCCCATAATCAAATATTCTTTCTCCTCTGGCACTCCATTGAAGGAAAAATCAGAGCTGGTCCCCTCCTTCCTCTTCTCCTAAAACCTAACTATATTCCCACCATTTTCTTTCAGGTGGAAACACATATATGTGTATTCCTTCATTTATACAATCACAAATAATTACCATGAATAATAAAATGCTAAAATACGTTCGATGGAGCTTCGTGGGATAGGGTGAAAGGAATGCTTATAGATACAAGGGACAGGGCAGCGATTTAGGTAACTGACCTTCCTATTATGCAGGGCTGTCCTGTAATGGGAAAGACTTTCTCAAGGTAAGGGCCATAACAGTAAAGCAAATGCAAGAGATGCTACAAAAGGGGATCCTGTCCAAATAAAGTATAAACATTTTTAAAAGCTGAATTGTATAGCCCTCCCATTGATAACTAAGAAATCTCAGCTTTATTGGATATTAGTCTCATTGTCAAATTACACTAGGCCCTCTCCTGACAGTGTCTGCGTAAAGTATTTAATACTAATTAGAGAGTAAATTTTGGTTCTAGCATTAACATAGAGTGGAGAAGCAAAAGGGTTATTAAGTAGAAGTAATAATTACACGGATTTTTATTGTTTTAAAGGGAACATAAAATGAACTTAAAACAATCAGTTATTTAGGTGCCTCTTATACACTGATGACAAAGGATTAAATATTGAAAGAAAATGTCAAGTGCACTACAAAAAGCTAAGTGAAAACCTATCTCTAATTATCAATTGCACTAAATCTAGTTAAGTCATACTAGAAAACAAGGTAAAGGTACAGTAAAATGTATAAAATAACCTCATTGTTCAAAACTATTGGGAAAACTAACATAATACAATTTTAAAATATTCCAAAGTTTTTAAAATTGTTCCAAAATTTCTAATTTTTATCATATAAATATTTCTAATTTTACATATACATTTTTCTAAGACCAAACTAATATTTTTTTCTTTCCTTGTTTTTGCTTTTTAAAAATAATTTGAGTATCATCAAGTAGTTTATGGTCATGTAGTCCTAAGACTGGGCTCTGAAATTTCAATAATTTCACTTTATAGAACCATAAATATAAAGAAAGAATGTGAACAACTCATTTAGAGTTAATGCTCCAAGTGTACAAAATGGCTCTCAACAGAGACAAGGTGGGAGGAGGGTGTATGAGGTGCCACACGCTTCTCTCTCCATCTCCCTGTCAGGTTGGACCAGTTCAATCAGAAAGGAACCATCTGCCCCTAAAATAACCTGTACTTTCATGGGGCAGGAAAGGAGTTGAGGCTAAAGAAAACTCCTGGATACTTTTGAGAAAGACAACCAGCAAAGGAATTTACCGAATTTATGATGAGTTAGGAAAACATGAGGCATAGGGAGCTGACTCCATTTCACCTTCAAATCGGAAAAAAGCATTATCAACACAGTTATTAAAAAACAAATAGCTTGCTTGGGCTATTGCAAAGCTGATACAATGTTTAATACTTTTAAGAAGTTAATTTTCAAGACCTTTCCTGTAAAGAAAAAGTCAGGACAGATTTCCTCTTTTAATTAAATTATTGCACTTTTTTAAAAAGCACATTAAAGAATGTTAACATTTTGCATGCATTATCTAAGAGAGGTAATAAACGATAAAAAGGATTGCGTGTTTTACAAATATTAATGTTCCTCCACATTTCTAGACACAACTTGTGCTGACCACTTGATTTCCTCTTACAATTATATTAACTCTCAGGTGGTATTAAGTATCTATAGAAGCAAGTTCAACAGACACAGGCTCTGTCCTTTCTGTTTAGTGTCAATGATGTGGACATAAAACTCTAATCCCAGTTACATGCCCTTCAGATGTTAAATCAAATAAGCAAACATATTACTTTAATATTTGCCTATTGTAAAGTATGTGTCTACCTCCTACCTTCCTTAAGAGATGATTGCATGGAAGTCATTTCTATCATGGGATCATTCAGAACTTTTAATTTTTAGAAAATGAATATGATAGGTATTCAGGTGAGCAAAGACAATGGCTTGTCCAATTTCAGTCTTGAAATCTTTGTCTGCAAAACTGACCTTTAGAAATAAAAAGCTGCAGATAGCTCTAACATGAATCCCAAACTGAGGAAACTGAAGAGAACTCATCTCCAAATTCACTTTGATCTAGGCTACTGGGAAGTTGGGAGTGGAGGGAGGTGTGTTTTGACTCAAGCAAACACTTAAGCCTCAATCCCTGAAGCTCTGGGAACCACTCCCTGTGCCAGTCTGAGGGCTCATCCTCCTGCCGAGAGTGCCCCCTGAAAGGTACCAGGAAGTAGAGCAGCCTCTGGGGGTGGTGCCCACGCCTCCCTCCTGGCAGCCCCCACCCACTGACAGCACAAGGGTAGCGCAGGCCAGCTCCAAGCATCACCCTCCCCCCAGAGCCTGCCCCTTCTCTACCATGCAATTTGCCAACATGCACATGCACGTGCAGTCACTCTATTTGTGCTTCCCAAGGCCCTCCCCATGCTCACACCCATGGCTCCAGGCATGCCAGGAGCCATACCCACCAGCCTTCTTTATTAACTACACCCTCCTGCGAGTCTGCTATTCAGCAGCTCAACACCCAGACAATGGGGGACCCCATGCCATCTTGCACTTACTGAAATAATGCTTGTTACTGTTCTTACGCGGCATCATTTCAATGGGTTTCAGCTCCCAAATTACAAGCTGCTTGAGGGGTAGGGCTGTGTGCCTTTTATCTCTTTTGAATCCCCCCTCAATGTCCAGAACAGTGCCCAGCACAGAGCAGGTGATTAAGAAATGGTGGTTCGTGGTGATGGTCATGGTTGGAAGTCAGAGGGATGCTGAATCTCCATATGTGGGTCCATCTTCGGTCACTACTGAGAGAGTCCCAAGGGGCATACAATGTCACTCCCCTCCCACACCAGCCCCTAAGCCCACAACCCTTCTAAGAGGACACTTGGTTTCCAAGCACCCCTTTCAAGAAACTATGTTCAAGCCTTCACCACACCCTCCCTTGTAAGTAGGGACCTTCTCCCTCAGGTCCCTGTGGAGAACGCCGCTCTCTCACGGATACTACCCTTAGATATTTCTGGTGTAAATAAGTATACCTCTGAGTGGCCACCAGGAAACCTCCCTGCTGTAGGGGCTCGCGGTTTCCTCCTTTGTTTTAGGGGTAGGAATGAACGGAATTGCCACCACGCGTCTGAAGGTTCGATAAAGGAGTGGGGTCATATGCTGGGACGGTAAGCACCAGGCGGGTCCCTATCTCCCAGGGCTTCTGCCCAGACCAGGGGGTCTCAGGGGAAACCCCCATAGCCACCACAGCGGCAGAAGCGTCTGAACCGCCCCAACACAGGGTCCGAACGCACCCAGCCTTGGGCTAAACAAAAGACTCCGATCCAAGCAGTACTGGCCTTTCTCCCTTTCCGTCACCCAACACGCTGGAGCCCTATGCGGAGTCTGGGAGGCAGCGGGCCTTAGGACCATTCCTGTCCTTCTCTGGAGCACTTTTCTCATCTGTGAAAGCAAAGGGCTCGGACTGGCGATCCTGAAGCCCCCTCCAGTTCGAAAACTGTTAAGTGCGGAAGAGCCCAGAAGGCCTCTGGTCTCCCGCTTCGCGCCCTCTGAACCTCGGGCGCGACGCAGGACGGTCGAGGGGACAGGAAACGGTAGATCCGAAGACCCTAAGCCTCAGCCAGGCTGAAAGGGCCCCCGCGAGGCCGCGCCCTCCTCAGCCCGGGTTTCCCAGATCAGGGAGCCAAGCTGGGAAACTCCCCGGCGGAGCGACGTTCGGATCCAAGCCGCTGCCCGCCGCCGGGGAATACACCCCCTCTCTGACCTCCCTTCACCCCTCCCAGGCGGCGCGTGGCCCTAGCTCACCGCTCCGGAGACAGCAGATGCTCCAGCAACGCGACTACAGTAACTGCTGCGAGGGAAAACACTCGCGTCCGGCGGCCAGGCTGTGTACGCCGCCGCCATGGCAACGGGCCGCTTCCGGAGGTTCCGGAAGTATGGAGGTGGGGGCGGAAATGAAGGCTGCGCTCCTCTGTTGAGATACGAGTAAGGTCAGCGCAGAATCGGGGAAACGAGAGATGGGACCGTTGATTCGAGGAAGAATGCGACGGCTGCAGGCGCGAGACCAGGATCGAAGCAGCAAGGGGACGAAGGCCGCGCGTGAACCAGGAAGAGGGGCAGCAGGGCTTCCGGCGCAGAGCCGGCTCCAACTACGGTGGCCGCGCAGGCCCGGCGGGTCCCAGGCCTGC